TAAGAATATATTTAAAATTGAGAGTATCTATTAATGATTAAAAAAAAAATGTTAAATTAAAAACTTAACATAATAAAAACAATTAAAATTTACGTAAACTAAGATATGTGTTTCAATTGTATAAACAGCACAATTTTTCCTTACTGGTATAGGTACTAGTCTAAACGGTCAAATCTGAACGATACATTGACATGAATCATTCTTCAGTTTTCTCGATCTATAACAGTCAAAAATAAAATTATCTGTCTTTTAATCACTACAGTGATGACATATGAGTTCTATCTCATTAGTATTACCGTTTTTATTGTATAAGTTTTCTTTTTCTTGACTTCTATAGACAAAACAGAAAATTTTACCGAAATACAGATTCCATATAAAAGTTATTCTATATGAGTCATGGCCTATCATCATAGAATAATATTTAGTCATAATCTTAGATTTATGTGAAATTTATTCTAACTTATAGCACATGATGTTTTCAGTACAAATCCTTTTTTTTTTGTTGTTTTTTATTCTTTCTGGAAGATGTTCCTAGAGAGATATTAGAGTTTTTATAAAATCTTCTAAAATTTGTATATAACTACAATAGATAATGACATTTCCGATAGATTTTCTCCGAAAAAAAATTGATGGGACACCGCTCAAGCATTTTCTTTTCAGACATTACTAACTGAGAACTGATTATTGACGATACAAACAAACCCTTGATATCTCTAGTCGAGCAGAAACTGTCGTAGATCATGTGGAATGACTCATAAGTTTGGTGCACTGATTCAATCGTCATGACATATGGACATCATTAATATACTGTCTATTTAATGTGCTTCATACCTTATCTTTGCTTTATTATCTTTTATATCTATAAGAATTTTATGCTATAAATAGTAAGTAATATTAATAAAACTATGACAAGTTATAATTCTAAATAATTCTTTGATTTGTTTTTTCGATGATATAACTTGATAACTTCATGTCAATATGAGTTAATAAAATAAATTAAGTATACTTTGTTAAATTTTCATTGAATAGAATTGTATGATGTATATTTTTAAAAAAATCTGAAAACAATCTAGATCTATTGATAAAAAACATTTTGTCTCTATCAGTCGATTACTTGAAGTACTTTAATCTTCATTAATATTAATAATGTTTGTCATCGTTGTTTATATAATATTGTAATCAGAAAGAACAAAAAACGCTAAATAGAATAGAGACGCAGCAAGGCTTTGAAAAAATACGTACAAGTGTTATATGAGGTAAGTATTTTGAAACTAGGCAGAGAATTAGTTGTCTTTTCATATAGTGTTAATCTTCAATCACACTTCTACAATGTTCATTGGTAGTGTGAATATATTCGATTGACTTTTATTCACTTTATATTTCGAATTTAGTTATTACCCCTATGTAGTCAAATGATGTTTTATGATGTTGAATTGTTGATACATATCAATTTCGAATGGAGAGACATGCATGTTCGATTGTTAGAGTTGTCATGTAATGACGCCACTTGAGAAGTTGCTTACTACTACACTCAGTAATATGATGTCGATTGAACGACGTCATATCGTTAGAATATATGTATCTCATATTGAATATAAGTCTTTCTAAATATGAGTAAAAAACATTCAGGAAATAATGATAATTAAATAATATGAGAAGAAAAGAAAGAAAGAAAAGCAAAAATGAAGATTCAACCAGTGAGACAAATATCATCTAATGTCAGTACATCTATATTATTAAAATAATATTCGTGGTAAAAGAATACTAATATGATTAAGGGTGTGAATTTTCATAAAACTAACAAAATTAATAATAAAATATAAACATATTTTAGTTTATTAAAGACATCGGAAATAATTTTTGTTATTATTATTATTATTATTATTTTATTATTACTATTTTTAGTAATGTGTTGTTAACATGCAAAGCGAGTCATTATCTTCTAGTATGAGCGCACGAATAAATCTCTGGAGTATGTATAAGTGAGTATTGTTAGAACATGTGAACTATCCTAAGAGACAATGTCGGCAATCAGACATCTTCCTAATCATGTTGTAGTTATGTTATTCAATGAAACGGTGATTTTTCTTTTACAATATATGTACTTGCGCATCAATGCATCTTGACAAATTATTTAAGTGAACTAAAATGAATCTATACGAATGATAGCCGATATATCATCGTTTCTTTTTTTTTGTTTTGGTTTTTTGCTTTTCACAGTATTGATGCTGTTTTTTTTTTTTCTTTACTATAAAGAGTTTTTCTAATTCATAATTAAATCGTCGAGTCGACTATCGGCCAAAGACAACTATTGATTCGATAGATTTAATTTGCATTTTCGTATGTATAAAAAAGAAAATCCAGCTAAGAATAATCTTGTATGTCTATTCTTGTCGTCCAATCGATGACTATGGATGATTTTATTTCCGTTTTTGTTCAAAATAGTTTATTTTAACAAGATAAATTATTATTATTATATTTCGACAATGATAAAATTTTCATTAGTTATATTTAAAAATATTTATTTCTCATAAGATATTCTTCATTATATCTAACTAGTTATATTTATGTATATTATAAGTAAAGTTAATATGAAATTATTAAATAAACAATTAATATCATATAGAATCATTGATTCATTTAAGTGGAAAATTGTATTGTATTTTAGTAATTCTTGTTTTTATCATTCTATTTTGATTTTTACAATTATTTAATGACTTGTTTATCATTTATTTGAAGTAAGAAAACAAAAACAATAATGATGATAATAATTATCAAAAAAAAAAAAGAAAATGAAACTAACAGATCTCTAATAATTACATATATATGTCTATATTGCCATTGACATTCTTGTGTTAACGTAAAATATAAGAGAGTATAATATAACACTTAGAACTATCTCATGTAAATAAAAGAGAAAACAATTGATTGAGTAGGCGTTATAAATTTTATAAGAAAAAAACAAGAATTGATAAAGATGGATAGAGAATGATGAGAGAGTCCTCATTAAGAGTTTGTCCTTCTTGTCTTGTTTGTTGTTTCCATTTGAAACTGATGTTGATAACAAAAATGAGAACTAAAACAAGGACACAACTATACAGAAGAAACATAGAACAATAGAATAGTAATGTTGATAATGATAATTTTTGCATATTGAACACATGATATGTTTTTTCTTTCTTTTTGTTTTTATTTTTTCTGATGTGATTTTTATTTTGCCTGTTAGCAACATTCACTAAAATGATTGATGAAAGAATCATAAGTTCTATCCGGTGCAAGAACATGAATATGAATAAAGAAAATTTGAGATGACAAAAAAAACAAGTTGTTTTTTGTTTTTATTCAAAGTATATATCCAGATTTCGAATATTTTTTTTTTTCAAAAGAGAAAAAAAAAAGAATGATAAAATCAACAGTTTCTTCAATTTTTCATTTAGAATATGTTGTATTTTCATATAAAAAATGACGAAGAAAAACAGAAAAAAGAAATAGAAGACGAGAGAGAGAGAGAGAGAGACACAGAGAAGAAAGAGAGAGAAAATATGTAAAGAAAAGAAAAATAGAACAAACAGAAATATAGCGTCAGAACAATAACGAACGAGAAAACAGTCTCAATACTCCTCTTCTTGTCCGTCAGACAGCGATGACATTAAACTCATTTGACGTTGAATACCACTTTTCCGCCTTCTTGTCGAATTGAAACTCCCTTCTCATCATGTTGCCACTTATTATATTCGAACATCTGTATATGTGGTATATGTAAGTATTGATCGACATTAATTAGTATATATACTATATATGATTATTGTTTTATCATAATTAAGATATTCATATATATATATATAGGTATCATTCTATTGAGATATCAATATAAGAAAAAAAAGTGAAAGAAATGATTACGAATTATTTATTATTTTGGTCTGTTTGAAATAAATATTTGATTAGGGAAAAGCGCATCAATGGATATGCATTCTTGTTAAAAGTTGTCTCGAAGGTATTCAATTGTCCTTTTCATTATATCTCCGAAATGCATGTCACTATGGGAAAGGTCTCAATTGGCGGCATTCTTCTTTCTTTTTGTTCCTATGTTTTGTTTGTCTCCTATTTTTTTGCATTGAAAGAATATGCATAATAATATGATATACTACAAATAATAATCAAGATTCAGCTAGTGTGTGACTGATAATAATAATTTTAGTATGTTTTTTTCTGTTACAATTCATCATCTAGATTTTTATTCAAATATAATTAATCATTCACTTCTTTTTGTTTAGTTTTGACATACATTGATTTTGCTTTTGTTCTAGTGACATAGAACAAGTAGAATACGTGGCAGAAAGAAAATAATCTTTATCTTCAATTTATATTAGATTTGAAAAAGAAAAAAGTTGTTTAAGTAAAAAATGCGATGAGTAGATAGAGAACCTTGAAATAAATCGACATGTTTGTATGTTAATCGAATATGAAGATTTGAAATATTGAAATCAATTTTTTTTCTTCTGTATCTCTTATTGAAAATGTAAACAACTATTATTAAATTTTGTGATTTAAAATCAATTGATTTAGTACTAATATTTAAATACCATAAAGTTTTTCTATACAAGTGAATTCATCTGCTATTAGTATATTCATTCCACAGTGTCTTCAGTCTTAAACTAATAGACAAGAATAAACTGGTAAAAAAAAAAGAGAAAAGAAAAGAAGAAAATGTTGATTAAGAAGCAAAACCAGAGAAAAACAAGGCAGAAAAGAGAACATGACTGAAGAGAAATAGAGAATATATCATGTTGAAAAAACGTTTCCTTATATTATTCGCATGTGTTCTTGTGTTTGGCGATAAATGCTTCCATATGAAGATTGACGTTCTAACTTAATTATAGCTATCTACACTACTTTTATATTAAATCTTTATGATTTTCTTCAATTCTATTTTTTTGTGATTAAATATTTTAGAGTAAATAACAATAATTAAATTGCCTTTCATTGTTTAATAATTAACAATGATGAATGAGGCAACATTAATTACATCAAATGCTTGGTCAATTAAAGTTAATTTAACTAGTTCTTATCAACATACCTTTTCTGATCAATTAAGACAGCCAACAAGACAAGCTACATTTATTGGTGCCATACTTGCATTTGTATTTATTTTTTTTGGTCTTATTGGAAATATAATTCTTATAACAACAATACTTTCTGTTAAAAAACTTCGATCATATACTATAAATATTTTTATTGTTTCGGTAAGATATAATTAATATTCAGATAGATAAAAATAAAATAGGATAGCAAAATTAAATCATTTACCTCGATTTCCTCTTTTCTTTTTTTTGTCCTCTTAATACTTTCCGGGCATAAAAAAACCATAGGCGATTGTTTTATATATTGATCTCTAAAAATAAAACAAATACACAAGCGGAAGTCATTTTCATTATAGACTAAGTATTTCACACCAAACTGAAACTATTTTGATAATATTTATATTATAACCTTTGTCTTTTGAATTAATTATCATCGAATATTTCGAGATTATTATTTAAATATTTTCTACATAATAGACAGCTATCAATCAATCCATATTATTGATACTGTAGACATATAAGAAATAATAATATATGTACTCTTCAATTTTTCCCAATTCTTTTTTTTATAAATGTCTAAATATATAAATTGCAGTTGAATTGTTCATTTTATTTAAGTATGAAAATGAAGTGACTTTCTTGTTTGTCACTTATAGTTTTCAAATATACTTTGAGACTTATAAAAATAGTTCATCCTGAAGTATGATTAATTAATGCTTCTGAGTTAGTAGAACGAAATAAAAAGAAATAGAAAAAAATTTATATTGCATTTCAAACTCAGGCTAAAAAAGAAAAAAAACATGAAAAGAACTTCCGTAAATTCACCTACTTCCGACTGTTTTTCTCAAAAAACATTTCCTTCAATTAAAAAAAAAAAAGAAAAAAGGTCAACAATATTATTTATAACTTGTTATTTGTTCTAAATATGATGTTTCTATTAGTTACAATTTAATGATTTACTCAATATTGGTTTCAATCAATTTTTTGTTGGTCTCTCTTATGTGAATCGAGGTTGGCTTGGTGGTCCTATATTGTGCAAAATAGTTGTTTATTTTTCAACAATTTGTATGGGTTGTCTTCTATGGCATCATTGTCTTATTGCAATACATCGACTTATTGTTGTTGTTTATCCGAATTTATTGCGTCGTATGTCAATTAAAACATACATTATTGTTTCACTTGTTATAACAAGAGTTTTACCTATATTATGTTGTATACCATCATTTTTAACAGATGCAATAGCATATTCACCACAAGCATTACGTTGTTCAATACGTAATAAATTACAAATATATATTAATATAACAATACTTATTTTATTACCAAATGTAATTATTATATTTTGTTTTGTTGGAATATTTTTTCAAGTTTTACATACAACACATACAACTGGAAGAATACATACAAATGCACTATCAATATCACATTCATTGAGACGTGAAATACGTATAACAAAAATGTTTGCTGTTTTATTTACATTGTTTTTTCTTGGTTATCATCCGTATGGTTTTGTACGTGCCTATGATAAACGTGGTCAATTACATCCAGATATATATGTTTTATTAACATTACTATATTGTATTTCAATATGTGCATCACCATTAGTTTATGGTATTATGAATAATCAATTACGTCATGAATGTATGAGAGTTTTGTTTAATTGTTGGCATTGTCAGAAAAATAATAATTATAAAAAGTGTTCTCATCATCGAATAAAAACAGCTGAAACAAAATCATTAACAGTCACAAATGGTGTTAGTAGTATACATTATAATCGTGAAAGTCCATTAATGGTATTATCGAAGAATAATAAACCAATATCAAAATTTTCAAAAAACACATCTGTAACATTATTAGATACAGCTAATGTTTAAAAAAATAAAAATTACTGTCAATAGAATATATATATTTTTTTTTTAAACCTTGTGCTTGTTTTTTTCTTAGTACATTGTATGTAAACGCGCATTTAATTTCTTTGTTCCTTCTTCCTTTATTTCTTTTTTGTTTGAGATTAAATTTTGCTCTCAGTGATATGATTAAAACGATAATAAGAGAATATTTGTACAAATGATTTTAATTTGAAATGTATAAATGAAATGAATAAAGAACCATATTGGTTAATTCATCTTATTTATTTCATAATCTTAATAATCTATTTACTTTTTATCTCACATGATAAGATTTATATACATTATCCAATAAGAAAGAAAAATTTTTTAATTCAGGAAGATAAATCTCAAGATCCAATGGGGGTTCTTTCGTTAATGAAAGAAAGCGGATAAGAAGAGAGCATAAATAGATAATCTGAATTCTCAATATGCTCATATTATAATTAGAACTAAATTACTTTTCTTTTTCTTTAGAAAGATTCAGAATGTTCCTAGAAAAGAATATTTAATTGTTAACGTTATAAACTTATCACTTTTCTTTTCATACAATTATTTTTTTTTCTTAATATACAATGTATTAATTGAAGAAAACATTTTTGCAATTTCTAAACATTCATGCATTTTTCATTCATTATAATTCTGATTCTACACTATTCATAGTTTGATGGAATATTTCATGCTGTTAGGATAGAATGTTTCTTTCAAGAGACATTTTCTTTCTGATGTAATAATATATAAGTAGATCGATTAGAAGTTTAGAGAATGATTTCAACGACTAGTTTGCCGTTATGTTTAACGATATTTTTGAGAACGATAAAAAGTTCATCATGCATTTACAAACAGGCAAAATTTTTCAAAATAAAAAACGACCTTCAAAAAAAAAAAAATTATGAATTATTAAAAAGAATATTGTTCGACTATCTGACAGTTACTCAAAAGCATTTTCTTTTGCACTCTACGATCTATCAGACAGTAAATTAGCTTGGGACATTATCAGTTTTTGTCCGTAAGAATTTATTACATTCTTTTTTTATAGCAATTATCACAATGTCCCATCGAAGAGACATTCAGCTTTTTTAGCGCTAATACACACATGAATATATATTGAATTATTGTTTTGATATGATCAATTTTTCTTGAAGAAAAGAAAAAGTAAATCGAATTAAGAAAAAAAAAATGATAAAGATCAAATTATTTGTATAGAACTTTTCAGTAGATTATGATTATTATTTTATTTTTTTAAAAGTTTTTATTTGGATTATATTTCAAATCATAAAAAACTTTGATAATAAAACAAATAAGAAATAATAGAAAAAAGAAAAATAATAAACCAAACCAATTTGCAGTATTTCTTGATGTAGGATCAATACGAGCTATAATACGACATGGTGCACCTGTGCCATTACCAATTTTAATTGGAAATATATCTAATCTAAAAAATTCATTATCAGTATTTTCAAGTAAACTATTGACTAAAGCAAGATTTTCTAATCCATATTTATTATGTTTTGCAAATATTTGATGAACTGGAAAAGTTTTCGATTGTCCATAATCAACTAAATAAAAAAAGTAAAATAAAATTAGAAAAATTATTGTTGTTGTTGCTGTTTTTTATTTCTCAAATCAAATTTTATTTACTTGAAAGAGTATCAATACCAATTCCAACAAGATTGTCCCCATATGTATCAATTAAATATGTGGCTAATTGTTCACTTAAACCAGGAAATTCAATATCAGTTTCTCCACCAGCATATGTTACTTGATCAGGCCAATATTTTGTCCAACCAGTATAGAAAATTAACACAAATAAAAATTTTTCTCCATCATCTTCATCTATTTCTGGAATAATTAAATCTCTATTTTTAACATCATCAATTGTAATAAGATAATTTTTATTTCTTTGGCATTGTTTTGATACATCAATTACACGAGCATGTATTGATACCAAATGTTTAAGTGGAATTTCATCTACTTTCCAACCAGTTGATGAAAAATGATAAGGTGCGTCTATATGTGTACCCATATGTTCACTTGTTATAAATGTATTGGATGAATAAAAAAATGAACTTTCATTACTGATCCATTGCACTGTACGTTGTGTAAAATTAAAGCGAGTTTGTGATGGAAAAAATGGTATGTTTGGTTCAAAGGTGTGTGATAAATCGATAAATAATAATGGAATTGATAGGGTTAAATTGAAAATGATTAAAATAATCAATAATAATAAAAGCATGATCATCGAAATATTTTTCAATACGATACAATCAATATATGACACCACCTAACGTTAGTATAAGCATGTAAACGAAGTAATGGAGCATTGGTGCGTATAATGTATACAATTTTTTTCTTCTTTTCTTTCTTTACTATTTTAGTATTGCATGTTTGTCGTTTCGAATAGGCAAAAATCAATAGGTAACGTATGATGTATCATTATATTATGGTAAAGAAAGAAAAGAAAATAACCATTGACTGTATGCATGCCTTGGGATGAATAACAAATAATTATATAATGGTAAATCAATCAGTACCAATAGAGTAGAAGTAGTCTTTTTCCACTCTATAAAATAATGTAAGATTTTTTTTTTTGTTGTTTGTTTAACAAACATGTTTGAAGGACAATTTCTTTTTTCCTATAGACAATGCATTAATTTATCAAAAATGAATATTAATTATTTTTCTAATTAATAAATAATGTTATGCATATTAATAATGTCTTGTTCTTTTTTTCTTTTTTTGTGAATTATATTGATTGATGACAAGAAACTTTTATTATTCATGTTTACAAAAAATAATTGATAGACAATGTCGGTTGAACTTAACTTTGATTATTTATTTTAAAATTTCAAAAAATATTGTTCAATTAATGAAAAAAAAAATATGTATTGAATCAAAATCCTTTTTTTTTCTTGATTCAAATTTTATTGATCATAATAACACAACACACTATCAATAGATGTAAAAACAATTTTTTTATTTGAATTAATACTATTAATGAATAACAACTGTTATTCACTAAAAGGTATAAAATAAATAAGAGAGTTTTTACATTTCTATTATGATCTATATTCTTGTTATTTTTTCTTTTTGTATATACTTTAAAAACTCTTTTTGCTTTTTTCATGTTGTGAACTTTTTAAAAAACTATTTTTAGAAAATTTAATTAACCAAACTGTTTAACATAATTGTTCTGATGAGACTCTACTCTCATACAATTTCATAAAAGCATTTTTAGTATTCTTTGTTTTTTTTTCATAAAATTTAAAGTTTTTTTTTTAAAATAAAACACAAAATTTTCAAAATTATTCATATTGCAAAATTGATTATAAATCCAAAGAAAATGCTTTATTGAATTTCACTTCTAGACATTCTTTTACTTTCTTCCTGTTTTTGAACTTAATGAATTAATATATTTTTCTATAAATACACTTCCATTAGCATTAAATCGTGTACAAACAACAACATTAACACGGTTTAATAATTATTCTATATTACGTATATATATATATATATCATTAAAGTTTACATTGTCAATTTGAGAAATTTATTCAAATTATGAAAAACTTAAGTAGATTTATTTGCACAATAGAAGACAATGAATGTTTGATTATGTCGAAACGTGCACAGTTTTCAGAAGGATTTTCTATTGTGTGCGATTTATTTTCATAATGCTTAATTAAAGAGTTTTCTTTCGAGAAGTCAAAGTAATTTTCAAGACTTTGAAAGAAATTTTTTTCAACTAGATATCATAAAAAATTTTCTAATCAAACTTCCAATTTTGGAAGAAATAAATTAATTAAGAAGGGTCTTCCATTATGCCTAACGCATCATTCCATCAACAAGGATCTTCTATTATAGGAAAAAGTTTAGACGTACAAACAAAAGTGTATAATATACAAAAGATACACATCAATCATTAAACCTATTAAAGTATAATATTGAAAACTTCAGAGACTGACAACATATTCATCGAAATCTGTTTAAAAAAAAAGTAGAACAAAAATTTGTTAATTGATATTTTCTTGATGTGATAAACATCATGTTTTCTTATGTAGTTATTAATTATTTCTTTCTTTTAATTTTATTTTCCGTACAAATTTTTATTTATTTTATATGAATTAGATAATTGAGTAAAAATCTTCTTTTTTTTTTCTATTTGAAAGCTACAATTATTTAACAAATTTTAACTAAAAATATATTTCTTTTGAGTGTCACGTTGTCCTTACATGATTTTATCAAGTAATTAAAATGACTGCTTATCGTATCGAGAATCCAATCGATAAACAGAATTTGTAAATTAGATCTTATTATAAAAGAACTTCGTAAATAATAAAATTTTTGCATAAATTTTGTTTCAACAATACAAAAAAATCTATCTAAAACAGCTGAATAAGAGATAAGGTTAATTTTTTTTCAAATAAAAGATCGTCAAAAGATTCCAATAAACATTTCAGAATAATTATAGTAATAAAGAAAAATAATTTAATGAAATATGTTCATAAATAATTATCAACCAATGTACGCATAACATTTTCATTTTATTAGATACAAATAATCAAATGAAAGAAAAAGAATCACTTACTAAAATAATTAATAATCTTAATGCAAGCATGAATGAAACTAAATAAAGGTCTGTTAGCCGATTGAATTGAATAACGCAATTATTGCTTTTAAAAACTAAAAACATTTATTTCTTTGAATTACTTGTCACACAACTCTCGTAAGTACCTAAAATGATATTTTATGTCAAAGTTATTATTGACAGGTCAAAGTCAAGATGCAGCAAAATAATTAAATCTATATTTAGTATACAAAAATTTTCTTATTCTCTTCCATTACATATATGTTATTTAATATAATTAAACAATATTTACCATAATACTTGCTTCAGATGTCAGAAATATTTTGAAAAAAAAGAAAATATATGTTTGCAAATTTTTAAAAGTAAGATTGAAAATAAATTTTTTTTTTACATTTCTTCTTCAAACAACTATTATATAATTTTATCATTTATCAGAAAAAAAAACTTCGATGTTAAATCAAAGTATAATCAAACATATCTTTTTTGATTATCACATTTATCCTAGAAAAAAACGAACAAGACTTATTTATTGTTTAGAATAACAATTGTTATAAAGAAAAAATTCAAATACAATTCATATGAATATTTATTTATTTTATGATTAAAAATTTCCTAATACAAATTTTCTTTTTTTTTTGTTTTTCGTTTACAAAAAATTGATTTAAAAGTCTGTTGTTGGTCGACTATCTAAATATTCTTTTAATTTTGTATTACCATGAACAGCATCAATTAATGGTTTGAATTTATCACCAAATTTTCCTTTAACATCTGGTACAGCTTTTAATAAAGATTGAATAGATTGATATACAAATAAATCAGCCCATGATAATTGATTTCCAACAAAATAAGATTCATTTTGACTATAAGCTTTTTTTAATTTACCTAAATTTTCCACATGTTTAACAAGAGTTTCATTTAAAAATTTTTCTAATTCTTCAGCTTTTTTGGTTTCATCTTTTTCAAAGAAAACTTTAGTATAAAATGTTTCATTTATATCACGTTGTGTATCAACAACAGCATCAATTTTAGCTGCTTCAAGATTATTTGTACCAGCTAAACCTGTTTCATGAGCTATATAACGAGCAATTGCCATTGATTGTGGGATTTGTGTACCATCAGCTAATTCTAATACAGGACATTGACCTAAAATCATTTTTGGTTTATATTCAGGCCATTGATTCATATCAAAACGAATATCTTCATATTTACGACCACCTGCTGCTAATATAAGTCGAGTAAGTTCACCCCGAGCTTGTAAATTAAAATAATATAATTTAAGATCACTGCTGCTCATTTTTGTTGATATAATGATACAAATAAATGAAATGAATAAAAAAAAAGCATAAACTTACACGACTTTTTATACGTTTCGTTATCTTTTGCTTCGTCAAATGAATAAACAATATAAATGATAAATAGATGTATGCTTATTTCTATCAATTTCAACTTACATAATGTCAAAGATAAAAAAAAAAATAAATGAGCTATCATCATTAAGTTGACATTTTTACCTGGTTATAGTTAAGGTTCTATATTTTTATATTTGCATAGATTGCTGATATGAATGTTTTATTAAAAAAATGTCCTTATGATGACGGTACAAAGTTTGCTTGTCGAATGATCATTTAGCTAAAGAATCATTTAGTAGATGAAAATATTGATTGTTTTGAGCTTTTTTCAAGTTATCGACTTCGTCATTATCATTATCGATGTAGAGAACATTATATGTACATAAACTATGTGAGTTTGATTTTATTCATTGGATAAAACGAAAACTATTTGAAAAATAATAATAAATGCTTCTAATTATAGAAAAACATCCTAATTAGATAATGTTTTTTTAAATACATATTCAATTGAAAAGAAAATCTCAGTTGTCCTTGATCAAATATACATATTTACTCAAGAGAATATTTTACAATCTTATCACGAAAAATCTTCAAATACAGTTTTATTTTATTATCTTGATGACGTTTATTTATTTTTGTGTGCATATTTACTATTTATTTTGTACTCATAGAGAAATGTAGACTAACGAGATTTTATTTTCAATATATTAGTTAAATTTAATAGTCAATAAATTACTTTTATCAATAGATTTAAATGCAAATGAATTTCTCACGGAAGAAATCATATTGTTAATAATTTGTAAAAAAAAAATTGTTCGTTGATTTTTGCTCTTAGGTTTTTTGATGATCAATCATTGGAAAAAAATGATTTCATGTTCTCTTGAAATAGTTTTAACTAATATGCGATAAGACATTGTGTAAACTTACGTAAACTTTTTCTTTTGAGCTGTTCTGTTAAAAAGAATATCATAGTATTCTCTCCAAGCCTTATAAATCAATTTCAATCTCATTTTCATTTCGTCAAGAATATAAGCAAGAGAATGATCAAATCAGGAAGCTTGAAGAAAAAAGATAAAGGTCTGTAATGAAAAATCTCATCGAAAAGAATCTTAACATTTTATTTAGACTTTTTAATTAAATATTCATATCTATACTTAAGTTTAAATTTTGTTGAATAAAACATAAATCATTTTTTTCATTACATATAAAATGCGAACATATCCTTAAAAAAAGAAGAAAAAAAAATACTTCTAACTACGTGTAATGAGATAAAAATTTTATTCTATTGTTTTATGTGAATCAATAATTTAGAAATAAATTAAATGATGAAGTGAATAATTAAGAGATAAATTCTAGAGAAAAAGAAAAAGCATCTAATCTGAAGAAAAAAAAGTAAATCTTTCTGAATCCTAAGAAATTTAATACTCTTTTTTTATTGATAGATTATTTCTTAACCTTTCTTATTCATTCAGATTAACGAGTGTTTTTTTACTAGTCAATCTAACCAATATATACATTCAATTTCAATCAAGATTACATCATATATAAGCATAAAATGTCTTACAGAAGATTTTTTTTTCTATGCAAAGAACAATCAATATTCAAAGAAACAAAAAGTATCGACAACATAATGTTGGTTTATATTAACCCGACATGACATTGAATATAAGAAATGAATTACTCTCTCTCTCTCTCTTTTTCGCTCTGATTATATAAACAGTAAATATTAATTTTATATTTTCTGATTAGTTCTATTTTTAAAATAATGGAATACAATTATTTAATCATTGTATCAATATTTCATAACGTAATTAGATGATTATCCTGTCTTATGAACATTATTGTTTCTGTCATACAAAAAAGAAAAGGTTAAACTAGTAAAATATCCTATCACACAGATCATATATACATCACAATGAACAGACATAATGATGTCGATCAAGAACAGATGTGTTCATTGATGTAGAAAACTAAGTAACATGTTTATGATAAAAAAAGAAACAAATTTTGAATATTTTAGATATGAAAACTATTTCTATGGAATTTTATTTAGTTATTCTATTACTTTTATTTATATTTATAATAAATACATTACATATAGTCTATTTAATTATTTATAAACATAATAAACAAATTCAATCTATTCGTTTAGTATTAATTAATTCATCATTATCATCATTAATTGTTTCTATATGGCTGATACCATTCTTTTATTTTCGTACGATATGGTCATCAGAATCTATATCATGGCGTTTATGGTCATTTGTTTTTCATATTGTTGATGCTGTACAACTTTATTCTCTTGTTTTATTAATAACTATTCGTTCTTTTCAACGAATATTTATTTGTTTTATATGGTTAGCACCTATTATTGCATATTCACCATTATTATGGTTAAATTTATCATATGATGAAATTGATTATTTACCTTATCGAAGATTAACTGTGAATGTTCCATGGTGGATATTTCCAATACTTTATTTTACTATGTATTGTATTCCAATAATTATTTCATTTGTATTAAGTAGTGTTCATATTTGTTGGCCTTTAATTAATTATTATTATTATAAAAAAGAAAAAAACAATATTGTTCATAATCAAAATATTAATGAACATCATAAAGATATGATAGAATTAAAAAATCTTATTGATACTGTATTTAATTTTCAATTAGAACAATCACAAAATAAACCATCACACACACTTAATGTAAATATAAAATTATACAAATAGAAAAAGCTAATTATTTTTCTTCATTGTTTTTTTTCAGCTATGGACATGTTCATTTTCAAAATCAGTATCGAATAAATTTAATCGATCATTACCATATAAGGTGGATCAACATGAATCTTTTTTTCTATTTGATGAGCTTTCAACATCTCCATTAATTCGTTCATCATCAATACAAACAAAAGATTGTATTGATCAACCACTTAATGCTTGTCTTTTATTTATTGTCACATGTCTTTTATTACTTGTACATTTACCTTATATACTTTTATCTTTGTTTGATGTGTCATTACTACAATTAACAACATATATTTATATACATTGGTGTGGAGCATTATTTATACCATTAATACATATTAAATAGAATATCTTCTGTAGTAAAAACAACATAGCATTTTGAAATTCAAAATAAATTAGTCGTAGTTTTTTCACGTCTGTTTTTAAAATTAAAATAAATAAAAAGAGAATGTATATAGAACAAAAATAAACATAATGTTGATTGTTTGTCATTATTTGAAGGTGATTTAAAATTTAAAATGAACAATAATAAAAGCTATTTGTTGATCTTTTTAATTATTGTTGCTACACAATGTTTGCTGCTTTTGACTAAAATGTTTACATGTTCGAATTATTTATATTAGACAATGATTTAAAAATAAATTTAAAATAAATTAAAATTTATTCTCGACATTTGTTCGAACACTGATATCCTTTATCAGTCTTTGCGTGCTTTCATTCTTTTTGTTCTGATTTTTCTTATTTCGTGAATCTTAGTTAGGTATACAAATTGAAAATTTTATAGTCCAAGGATTATTCGCATCGATTGGTGCTGATCAAAAAGTAGTATTTTCAAAATGGAATGCTGATGTTGATCGGCAATCAGTGGATACATATTGTTTTAATTAAAACTGAATCATGATCCAACAATTGCATATAAATCAATGAAAGGCACTTCTCAAAATTTGATCAGTATGAAATTTTGAATATGCAGAGGATGAAAAGTCATGTTTCAAATTATATTGTGCTGCATTGCAAGTTTAATGACAATCCAATACGGAAATCGATCAGAGGTCGTATTGTCGATCGTGTTACTTTCAAACGATGTTTGTCAGAACTCAAGCTGTTTATTAACAATAAGCATCAATCAATCGACTTTAAATCGGTACCTATATTAAAAACAAGAGAATGTGTAGCACAAATATCGATAATTTTTGCAAATTTAATTATTCGTCATGTAGATGTATTAATATATTGTGTCTCATCTGTCTAGTAGTTTCGATATACGAGCGTTTCTAAGATGGTTATGAATAATCAATAGAATAAACAGATGGTAAATATCCAAGTCTTGAATACTGAGGCAAAATTTACTCCTTGTGAGTTTATTGCACGTAATGTCGCAGACTCTATTAAACACGAGCCTGAGTCAATATTCATCTTTTAAGGAAATTAGAATCGTAGAAAGATGTACATCTGTATTAGAGACTAACAGAACCTGGATCAACTCTGACAATTGTTGATCCTGAAAAAGAACAATTTTTTTCCTTCCTACCCAAAAACTGATGCTCAATCTGGAAATCATCTTGCCTAGTGACTGAATGGCTTGCTGCAACGCAGACAAAATTATTCATCCCTCAAAATGGAATATATGTTTCTACTTGCCAGAAACGTAAGATCGAATTTTTCCAAAAAATGTTCTTTCTTTTGCACTATAGGCTTGAAAATAAGACAAAACGCCTGGAATATTTTTTACTATAAAACCTTCTACAAATAGGCTGTTGTTTTAAATGAAAAAACAAATAATCGAATATTCGATATATAAAGCGTTAGGTAGTACAGTCTCGATTTATCTCCAAAGTCTTGCACCATTACTTAATTAAGGTCGGTTGGCATTGTCTTCAAACATGGCCAGATATCATGATTCACCTCAATATTTGACAATTGCTCGTATTATGTCGCTCTATAGGAAGATAGAGTAGCTGGTGAAAGTTATTATATATTGACATATGTTTTTTATTTGGTTTCTTCATTATTTATTGGAACGTGCTCTTATCTTGACGATGTAATTATTAGTATCAGATATGACTTTGAGCAATGACATGCTCAGGAATATTTTATTTATTAGATGTTTTTTCCTCACACGTTTTCTATTACAGTATTAAACAGGTTTATACCATACAGTAGTCATTGGATTGTAATTGGACACGTATGTAAAAGTCTAGAAATTTAATTTTTTTACCTTTAGATGTCTACTAAAGAAAGTCAGAGTCAAATATCCGAGCAACTCATTTGAAAGTGTATACACTCATTTTAACAGCCTTTTCACTTCCATGTTTTTTTTGCATTTGCAAGAACACCTAATAAACCGAATGTAAATAGGGATGCACCAAATCCAATTCTAGTCAAATCCAAATTCAATTCTAGAATTGGATATGACAGGATTTGACTTGTATTTGGATTTGACACGATTGGGTTTGACTGGATTTGGATTTGACTAGATTTGACTTGGATTTGGATTGGACTGGATTTGACTTGGATTTGGATTGGACTGGATTTGACTATGTATACCTCCTACGAAGATTGTAGTTTTTCGGTATCAAAACTCGTCAAAACAGGTCAAATCTACATGTTCATTAGATGCAGTTTTCTTCGCTCTATCTAGTGGTGGCATCAGATTTCGCCTAATCTTTCAAAAAGTTTCAAGATTTGACAGGATTTGATCCAAAGCGTGAACAATAAACAAGAATTTGCATAAAAACCTGTCAAACCTTGAAACTTTTTGAAACATTAGACGAAATTTGATACCACCATTGGATAGAGCGAAGAAAACTGCGTCTCATGGACACGAAGATTTGACCGGTTTTGGCGAGTTTTGATACCGAAAAACTACAATCTTTGTAGGAGGTATACATAGTCAAATCCAAATCTAGTCAAACCCAAATCCGATCAAATCCGAATTGAAATCCAAGTCCAAATCCAAGTCAAATCCAATGAAATCTAAATCCAGTCAAATTCAAATCCAACTCAAATGCAGTCAAATCCAAATCCTGACAAACCCAGTCAAATCCAGGAATTGGATTTGACTGGATTTTGTGCACCCCTAAATGTAAATACATTCTTATAGAACAATTCTATTGTTGGTTGCGAAGGAACTATCATGCATCATGCTTAATTCCATGATGAGTTATTTGAAGTGAAGTTTTAGCTGAAATTTTGATCCATCGAGTAGGCAAAAATTAATCTCGCTTTTACGACAAGAAATATGATAACTTTGGTCATGACATTGAGAAGGTTCATTTTTTATTCGATGTCATTCTTTTGTATGCTCGTGCGCTTGAAAACTGAGTTTTTCAGCGTTACTTACATAGAATTGTTTTTGTTTCGATTCTACTTCAGAATTCAAATTCATACAATCAGTATCGATATTTTTCTGCATTTGTGAAGTGAAACTGATTATTTAGTATAACACCAGAAATAGCCTCTTTGATTCAATCATAAGTCAAAACTCTAGACAACTTCACACTGCATAAGTGAGAGTAAGATGGTTTCTTGTCTGACATAGTACACTTTCGACGTTACAAGATTGCCCTAGATGTTCATACATGAATAAGGTACTCATGTTTGAACTCGCTTCCCTTTTTCGAAAAATACCAACTTTTTCACAAGGATCAAATAGACAACCTATTCTGACTCTACCGTAGTTATCACAACAAGAGAATTATTTTAATTGGAAAAGATTTTGAAGAATAGTAACGGAAAAGTTGAAGACTAGTTTTTTCCCATTGTGACCACTATATCTCTTAGAAAGAAACCGTCCTCTAAGTTCAACCAACTGTGGAAAGAAATCTCCTTAACTAGGCATGAGTTGAAAGTATTCAAGAAAATTGTGGAATTCTAGACAATTCAACAAAATTTAAGAGAACTCAGAAAAGTGAAGATAAACGTATGTGTAAATGAGATGTGTATAATTTTAAACAAGCATCAAGTTCAAGGAATCCTAGGTCTTGAATTTCTGCAATGGCCTTGATCATCTTTGAGTTGCTTAGAATTCCATGCTTGATTTAGAGTATAAAACTGTACGATGACTGTCTTCTGCATTGTCAATTTTCGGGACTTTGAGTACCTTTCAATATTTGGCAATTTCAATATCTCGGATAACTCAGTTTCATTTTATTTTTGCAGCGTTTCAAGTCATCTCGATCGATATGGATCCAACATCTGTGCTCAGCACTATCTATGAAATTGCAATGTTAATAAAACAAAGCGTAAAACAGGTGAAGGCTAATGAAAAACAGTGCAAACGTCTTGCAGATCGAGTTGATGCTATTACATCAATCTTGCAATCTAGGAATGATAATGATCTTCAAAGATTAGAACTCAGAAAATCTCTAACAAATTTCTGCAGCTGTATTAAGCAATGCCTTGAATTTATTACAAAGTTCAGCGATGAAACATCATGGTTTTTCAAGGTTTTTAAAAATCAAAATTTTAAACGTCAATTTGAAGAATTAAATTGTAAACTATCAGAAAGCGCTACTGATCTCAACTTGGGTATCAATTTGAAACAAATTTTTGATTCAGACAATGATGCAAACGATCAACAAATTGATATAAATACTATCCAATCTAAACTCGACGAAATTGCGTTTATGATGGTACGAAGACAAGAAGCACAGCTTGGTCTGGATAAAAACATTGAGCAATATATCAATCAGCGATTACGTTCGTTTAAGTATCAACTTGAACAAAATATTATCAAAACAAATGATCCTGTCAAAGCTCAAGAAATCGCCCAAGAAGAAAATGCTTTTCTTCACATTCCTTATTATGATTTGCTACTGAAAAAATGCATTGGACAAGGTGGATTCGCTGATGTTTATCGTGGTAAATGGCTCTCTCAAGATCATGAAGTAGCCATTAAAGTTATTCGAATTCAACAGCTAGGAGATAAACTTAAGGAAGATTTTGTCAAGGAAATTTCGATTATGTACCGTATTCGTTATGATCATATTCTTAACATATTTGGTGCTTGTATGGAACCAGGAAACTATGCACTTATTGTCGAATATATGTCTCTTGGCTCCCTATATGATGTTCTAAGACAAGAAACAATGCAATTGACTTGGACTGATCGATGGTCGATCGCTCTTCAGATGACTAAAGGTATCAATCATTTACACACACATACAAAACCAATTATCCATCGCGACATTAAATCACTCAATGTTTTTATGACTGGAAGAAGCCAAGATATTTTAGTCAAAATCGGTGATTTTGGCCTTGCGAAAATTCGTCATGAAACATCGTGTCAATCTTCAAAAAATACTTCAGTCGGTACTTTGCCATGGAAAGCGCCCGAGTTACTCAAAATGGGAAAACATACAGAAGCTAGTGATGTGTATGCCTTAGGAATAGTGCTTTGGGAACTAGCTACGGGATGTGAACCATATGAAGAATCTGACGAGTCAACGATCAGTGCATTCGTCCAAAGAGGTGATAGACTCGATATTCCGCCAACTACTCCCATGTTGTTCGCGGAACTTATTTCGAAAGCTTGGGCCCATGAGCCTATCAAAAGGCCAACGTGCCAGCAGCTTCTCGTTTCCATGAAAGAAGGCTATTTTGAACCTATTGCAGCCGGAAAGCTGAAGGTGAGAAAATATAGTGCTCCTTATTCTTCATCTTGAATTTTTCATTCCCATGGCAGAAAGCATAGTCTCCAATATTTAAGTGAATGGCTTCGTTTATTGTTAGCATAGAAATAGAAAAAAAGACGGACTATATTGCATGTTGGTTAAAGTAGTATTTACATTTTCAAAAAGAAAAAAAATACAAATTATTGAACTATCATAAACTGAACAACTAGATATATGGCCATTATATTAAGATACCACCATTCGATAGATAGTACAGTTAGCCTTTGACGACATATCTCGCTCAAGTTCTTCACAGAAAATGTATTTTCCTTTTTGGCTTTTGTTTTTGTACAAGAACACCTCAGATTAAAAGATACTTATGAACGAACAGAGAGTATCTCTTATCAAATATGACTACCACTCAATGACTGAAGATGAGATTGAATATTCACCGTCCATTAGCTGTCTGTAATGAGATGGTGATAAGCCGTGTTTGCACATTTTTTTCGTTTTGCCGTTGAATTTCGGCAGGTGTCATAAATTACTCCAAGTAAAAGAATCAAGCAATTTTTAAAATTGAGTTATGTCAAAAATTCAAATTTACTTCTAGGCCGATGTTGTAAAAGTAGTTGAAACAACCTCGGTTACAGAACAACGATCATCAATACCTCGTCACAGGTATATATCGTTACAGATAAAATCTGTTTTAGTATTGTCTATCCTTTCCAGGAATGCAGGATCGAACGAGACATCTAAGACACAAGGTAAGATTCTAAGGATTTATTACGCTTTTTCTTCGTCAGCGCCTTAAACATAACGCGTATTGTTGCATACTATCTTTTCTGTGAGAGAGAAAGCTAAGAAATGTATCTAACAAGAGATGTCGCTTATGCTATAGCGAGATCTCTAGACATAATCTCGCATATTATGAAATATTTAATTTCAAAGTGGTGGCTTACATTCACAGACATCCGTTTACAGATTTCTTATTTCATAGAGAGAAATTGTGGACGCGAGATCGTCACAGGGGCGGGAAGAAAAATTGGTTTTTAGCTATGTCCTGTCTTCCTGTAGGACGGAACAGAGCAAAATATTTCGACCTGCTGAAACTTTATTCAAAAAACATGATTGAATAACATTTTATTGATTCGAGCAGCATAGCCATGTAACGCACGTTGAAAACCATGTTGTCATGCCTCTTTTATCTTTCATTTTGTTATCTTTCTATTCGATCAAAATTATTCTATCTGAGTACCCTAGGTGTAATGAAAGCTCGTAATAATTCCACTGAAAATTCAGAACCAATCATTGGTGATAAGACTGTTTACGGCGAATATCTTCTTAGGTGCAATGCAGCATGAGCTATAGTTGCATCAGTTCTGACGAGGGAACCATAGCACCTCGGTTACCATCCCAAAGAAGCCTCTTGGAAACATCTGTGATGAACTATCGTGATATGAAAAAGATATTGCAGAGTGCCTGCAGCAATCTATTCTAAATTGGGTATCGATGTAGAAGTAAGTGTAATTCTTCACTACATTGCCATTTGTACTCATAATAATATGTATATCCACCCAAGAATCTTCCTCAATTGGATTACGCCATCATCCCGAAATCCGAAACAAAAACTTTTGGATCTCTCGAGATTGAGGGTTTTGGACTCGGAGTCTCTGCTAATTTATCGACTTCATCGACAAGCGTTGCTATGATGATGAGTTCTTTGATTTTCATAAGGAGTCTGGTATGAAGAATGAGTTAGAGGATCATATTTTCTCCTTAACGATGAGAGTGGACATGTTTGCAAGTTCTTATGAGAGTATCTCGAGTATTCGCAAGACCAACTTGGAAATATCGACTTGTGATGATAACTGTTGTATTCTGCGTTGAAACTTGCCTAGATACAAAAATTTAGGTGACTCGTCGTCTTAGACTAGAATTCTAGGTGGACGATCACCGATTCAGTTAACCAGCGCGTTAAGATTCGCAAAGATGATACCTTTTTTTGGTCGTTTTTTGTGAGATTTTACATTATTTTTTGCGCCAACCTGTAAACCAAAGATGATCTGTCAGAGTCAAGTATACAGACTATAGGTTATCACATAATTTTTGAGGTCCACACGCCCAAAACTGGCAATTTTGAAAAAATAGATTTCGACAGCGTTGCTCTAGACTAGTACTTTGCTGAAACAACCCGAAATTTTTGTCACAAAAAGATCTCAATGAGATCTCCTAGTAGAATAACTTTCAGACTATAATTTGATTCCTATCGTTAGGATACAGATGCAAATAAATGGTAAAAAATAGACGTTTTACCCTGAACAAACGATATCTATGAAAAATGTATGCATCCATATTTTGGCTTGAAACCTGTTCTGCTAATGAGGTGATCTGGCATATGCTGTTACAAAGGTTTTTAGCTGAATTGGCTCTGTCGTTCCTAAGACATGGTCGCCTCATAAAAGCTCAATAAAAAATTGTAGTTTCAATCGTTTTCCAAACAGTTTGCAAGAAAAATCATCAAATAATCGTCTCCATCACGTGTGTAAAAATGAGAAAAATCTGAGACCATCGTTAAGCACTTCTGATCGAGCTTACATGCTTTAACTAATAAGAGTTATCTTTCATAGTATGTATAGAAGAAAACTAAATAGAGCAGAAGTATTGCTTCAACCGAGACATGACATTTGCTTAAAAATTACTTCGTTCAATTGAATGACAGATAGTTGCAACATTAACCGCAAGACAATATCTTAAAGTTTTCTTTTTCGCGGCCAACCCCAATTTTCTTACCTTTCTGTCAATGATACGTTTCTTTTACATTGTAGTTCTTCTAGCAAACATTCCTCACAATGCTCGATGGATAGAAAATGGGATCACCATCGCTGGAGGCAACATATCTGACAAAGTACTCAAACAACTTGATAATCCTCATGGTCTTTGTGTAGATGAAAATCAAGCCGTTTACATTGCTGATTATGGAAATCATCGTATTGTAGAATGGAAGTTAGATGCAAAAAGTGGTCAAGTGATAGCTGGCGGAAATGGACAAGGATATCGAACTGATCAGTTAAACAGACCAACAGATGTGATTGTTGACAACGAAACAAATAGTCTCATCATCTGCGATCGATGGAATAGACGAGTGATGCTCTGGTCTCGTAGAAAAGGTACAACAAACGGAGAGACGATTATGGAGAATATCTCCTGTTGGGGATTGGCAATGGATGATCAGAGATATCTCTATGTTTCTGACTGGAAAAACAATGAAGTAAGAAGATTTCGAATGGGAGAAACAAAAGGTATAGTGGTGGCTGGTGGTAATGGACAAGGTGATCGTCTCAATCAACTTCATTTTCCTACTTATATCTGTGTCGATAGAGATCAGTCTGTTTACGTGTCAGATTTGCACAATAATCGTGTGATGAAATGGGAGAAGGGTGCAATCGAAGGGATTGTTGTCATTGATGCTCGAGGCGAAGGCCATGATCTAACACAATTGAATGGGCCTCAAGGTGTGTTCGTCGATTTGACGGGTACACTTTATGTGGTCGATCGCCGAAATCATCGAGTAGTGCGCTGTTGCAAAGAAGTAACACAGCGAGATAGTATTGTTGGTAGCAATGAAGGGGGAGAAAAAGCAAACCAGTTATATATGCCCAAAGGTTTGTCATTCGATCGACTTGGTAATCTCTATGTTAGCGATTGCGGAAATAATCGAGTCCAACGATACTCAATTCAAGACATAAAATAATTATAGACGAGCTATGTTGTGCTTTGCTTCTTAATGATTCATAAAATATCACACAAGCACAAGAACAGATTCTCTTAAACAGGAGAATCTATTCTGATCGACCATATATTTCAGCATATATATAATAAATTTTCAAATAAATTCAGTCATTATGGCTTGATAGTGTTATATAAACAATTACTAATTTAACGAAAGTTGAGTAGCATGATGCATAAGGTTCAAGGGGTATTGTGAAGCTATTGTTCGTGCATAATCCAATTCCATTTAGAATTCGGCTTCACATGAAAGTCTAGGCACGTGAATACCAAGGAAAAGTATGAATGATTATCATCATAATCCGATAGTCAAAGAACAATGATTTGATCGAAAATTAGCAAAAAGCAATGCCTTAGAGAAATAATTGAGACCGAAAAACATAAAGTTGTTAAACGCTTATTAGAAATTGGAACAGGTCTAGAAGTACTTTATTCAGCAGTACTTCTAGGCTCCTTTCGTCTGTTGTCCATGTCAGATGAATCCTTAGAGATGAATGAACTATTCAGAAAGAGCACACGAACTCACTACTATAAATTGATTGAAAAGAAAAAAGAGCGAACATTACAGACAAACTTCAATCGAAAGAAAACACCAGTTAGAATGGAAAATTGTTTTTGCCTCAAAGCGACATGCAAGGTTGAGGAAAAATTATATAATTTAAATTTTGTTTTTCAATCATAAAATAAGTTGCAAGAAAACTGAGAGTTTCAATGAAAAATGAGTTAGCTCGAATTGATTGGTTGTTCAAATTTAAGAACTCATTTCGAAAACAAATTAGATTTAAAATTCAAATTAGTTTATTCAGAAAAACAGCTATGTCAATCAATGCTTTCATATAAAATAGACAACTCGATGATCATCAATGTTCTTTTGTTTCGATATATTGTTAGAAAAATTTAGTTTTTGAAAGTTTCAACGATGATATTCTTATTTACAGAATAAAACTTATATGTTATCATGAAAAGAATAACAATCGATCATTTTATTTATTTTACTTTGAAAATATTTTAAGATTACATCCGTAGGTATTCATTTCAGAACCAAATTCTCAAACATATATAAACAGATGTAACTTTTTTCAAACATGAAAAGTTAGAATTTCTGTTGTCCTAAGTATGCAACATAATAAGCTTAATTATATTTTTACTAAGATAAATTAGTTAGTAAATCTTTTTTTTTTCATTCATCCAAATTTATTTTTATATATAAATGGAAAGACGAGCTTCTCATTTTTTAAAAGAAAATAACTTTCATCAACAGTCTTTTTTCGTACTATTTGCCTTCGTCACTTGTTGTTTTTTCTTATCATATTAAACTCAAGCGGTACATTCCTTTAGTTCAAATATGTGATTGTGCTTTGAAGTGCTATTGCCTATGACAACAATGTTAGTTTAACTTCGTAAATGTTTATTCATAACCATTTAAATAAATGAAATTGATTATTTTTTTTATAATGAAAATAAAAAGTCAAAAAAACGAAAAAACTTCACAAAAAAATGAATAACATTATAAGAGAATTTTCTTGCATTACACCAATAGCCATTATTTTTTTATTGTATTATCACTTCAATTATATCAATATATTTGTTGATGATTTCACTTTTGAAATATTAGAAAAATTATTCATTTTTCTCTAAAGTATTTTCATCATCTTGAGTGTGCATATGTTCATCAAGTTGAAGTTCTTGATCAATATCAAGATTTAATTGTGGTTTACGTATATTCCAATGAAGTATATCAGCTAATGATTGAAACCAATCACCTAGTTGATCAAATCGACATATACATGGTACGGGATAAACACTTGTTGTTATTTTTACACTGAATAATAAAAAAAGAAAAAAAATGCATCACATAAATTTTAATTTTTTTACAAAAAAAAGAAAAGAAATAAATTTTGATTTGAATTATTAATTTACCCTTCATGTTGACGTAATTCAAGTCGACTTCTTCCATCGATTGAAAGCCATGCTGTTAGACGAGTATCTTCAGATACTTTCACTGTAAGTTCAATACCCGCTGGGACAACAATCGGACGAAAAGATAATGAATGTGGACATATAGGACATACTATCATAGCAGGAACATTTGGATGGACCATTGAAGCACCGGCTAAAAATCTTCAATGTATATTCAAAATTAAAAGCATAACAATAGATACATACCAGCCATTCCATAAGCTGTAGAGCCAGTTGGAGTCGAGACAATCAAACCTTAGATAGAATACTATTATTATTTTATATTGAAATCAAATGAGTCTTTATAATCTACATAGACAGTTGAATATAATGAGGATGCAAGTTTTGTTTGTGTGTTTTACATATAGAGTGACACTCAAAATTAATCATTTTATTTTTCCAATATCTCAAGAGATGTTCAGTATTTTGAGATGTGACTTTTTGGCATAATAGTATTTATCTTTTATAGTATATTTTCTTCAAATATCACTTCTTACCAGTGTAAACTTGCTGTGATAGATAAAAATATACTAAAAATGATACTCTTTGATTTGGTTCAAAACTTATCTTACACTTCATATGAAAGCAGAAAGTTGATACTATAATTTTGAAAAGAAAACATATGACAAAGATATGGTAATTGTGGCAACTTTGTCCAAAAATTGTACAAAATACCCTTTTTGTTCTTCTGTTCGAAATCATAAAATTTGCATCCATTTTCGTAAGAAGTGTATATGATCAACTTTCAATGTGACACTATGTATCCAAAGTTCAAATCATCAGAATAGATAACAATAGGAATAAAGTAAAACTTTAACAATTTTTTATTGTACTTTATCACATTTTATCTATGAGACTCGTAAGTCATATATGGTTAACTTACCGTCACCTTGTACTTTAGTAATATATTTATCATTAATATATAAATCGAGATTTGATAAATATGAACTTGGTCCACGATCAATAACAACTTCATTTAATGCCAAACAAGTCATAGCATCAGTATCAATTGATGGACTTGTTTCATTTGTTTGTGAAGAAACATCTGATGTCTCTGATGAAGATAAATTATTTAATTCATGTTTAATAATTGCACAATTTAAACGTGTTCGTAATAAAACAGCTACTTTGCCAGATAAAACTTCATCTATAATATTGTCATGAAATTGAAAATCAAATGGAGTTAAAAATCCCAATGAACCCATAGAAAATGATAATACAGGTGGACAACTTTTTTGAAATAAACTTGAAGCATGTAAAAGAGTACCATCACCACCCAAACAAATCACTAAATCAATTTTACATGTGTCATTTTCTAAATTAAATATTAAAAAAAAAAAAAAACAAAAACAAATTTTTAATAAAATTTAACAAAACAATCGATTTCAAATACTTTGATCAAATGGAATGCATCGCTCAACATTCTCTTGTAAATTAGCATCAGTAGCAAATGGTAATTGTGTATGGTCAGAAGATCCAACATAAACATTGAGACGACGCTATAAGATATAATCAAAAATAAAGCTATTAGCTGATTCTACATTATATGTTCTATCGATAAATGCTCTATGGAAGTCATAATGAAGTATAAAAAGCTTAGAAAACATTCTGTTTGGTTTGTTTCTAATTTGAAATATTAGTCTAAATTGAAATAGAATAATGCTCTGAAAACATAGAAGATCAATTCGAAATTTCGGCAAATAATATGAATTTTTCTTTACAACATCGATTCCTTTTTCGCTGAAGATCTTCTTCAAAAATTGATCCTTGAGTTAGATACAAGTCAATAGCAAGAGATTGTCAGAATATGTTGAAATTATAGTGGAGAGACTGATAGAATTTTTAGTTTTATATCATAACGTTTTCGAGAGATATGTAACAAACAAAACTAAAAAGTAGCTCATTTGTCAACTCCAAAATTTTCTATGTGCCTTTATTCTATATACCTAATTTTTTTTGGTTTAAAAGAGCATTTCAGGATGCAGAGCATGACAGAATTGTTTTTTTTTTTAAATCATTACTTTTTCGGTCGAGAAAAAGAGTGAAAAGTTCAATGTCTTGAAGAACTAAAAACTAAACCCCTAATTATAACGGTACTCTGTATATAATAGTAACAATAATTAATTAAAAAAAAAAGAACTCTGTCATTACTTTGAATATTGACATACTACTGTAAACAAAAAACAAGCCATTAGATACAATGAAACTTCTTCGAATATTTCGGGAAGTATAATCAAAAAAGCACAAGCCAAGAAAAAAACGAAAAAGAATTTATACTTTACTTAAAAAAAAAGTATATTTTTTAAGCAGAAAAATGACGGAAATATTTGAGAAAAAAAATAAGAAGCCAACTACGCAAATTAACTTTTTTAAGGAGAGTTTAACATAATTTTCACAATTAATGTATAATATATCTGTCTGTTATATATTTCTAGACTATCAATGTGAATATTGTATAAAATACTTACTTTAAGAAGTTTCGTAACAAGAATTCGAAATTCTGTCTGTGTAGATAATCCTGGTTTACGGATAACAAGAATATTATTAGGTGATGAAGTCCAATCAAGACGTTGACTACATGGATCTTGAATAACACTATTTATTTATTTAAATAAAACCATATAGAAAACAATTGATGATAATAATAAATAAATTATACTTACATAAGTTCTGCATTGTTTCGTACTTTTTTAAGTGTGCCTTTAGGTCCAAAATTACATTTTGGTGATGGTGCAAAAACAGAACGAGTGCGTCTAATAAATTAATAGAAATATGATTAACAATTTCATTCGTAAAATTAACGTAAAATATTTTTTATTTCGTTACATTTACCTTGGTATTCTATCATCACCTGAAATAGAAACTGATCGTCTTGATAATACAGTAGTAAAAGATGTCATTATTATAAATAAAGAGTAGTGTGTCGTGCATAAATAATGTTTACTCAAAGGTAAAAAAATACATTGAAGAGATAACACTTGCTCTCCATATATTGAAGTGAGAGAAAAGTATAAAGACTGAAATTCTTTTTCTTTTCATCACAGTAGGGAGAAAAATTTAATGTGTAATATTTCTTTTATAATTTTCTTTGGCGAGTGAAACTATTAATAAACAATTGCAAAATAAGAAAAAAAAATACTTACCGACATGGTCTTGACATTGATCGACTATGCACTCTTGGTAATGGAACATTGACATAAACATCATCGTTTTCTTTTAATATGTCATGATTACCATTAGATAATGTTTCATTTGTATTATTAGCACAACTTTCATAATATTCATCCTCCTCTAAAATCGAAGGCGCATAACAGTCGACACTCTGTGTTCGTCGTTGATAAGATAATACACTTCTGAGTGCATCATTTTTGGAATTTTGATTCATTGTAATACACGTGATAATAATAAGGATCGTTGTTTGATGATAAAACCTTCTGCTTGATAGTAATCGCGTATAAGCAAAAATAAAAATGTATACAACGAATGCATAATAGGATTGATTTTTGTTTTTTTACAGGTGAAATAAACTAAATGAAAGAAAGAAGAAACGTAAATATACCTCACGTGGATGTATATAATAGAATACCAATCACTGTTTAGCCTTTTCTCTATTAGAGTATATATATTCTTCAAATACATTACGATTTTTATTTTATAGAAAATATATAGAAATATTCAAATTCTTTTATAAGTAAATGAATTATTTTCGGATTAATTTACTAGTTTCTTACTGATATAATAAAAATGATAATCTATATGAATAAGCGTTCTATATTTTGAATTTCGATATTGTATATGTCCTTGAACTTAATCTACAAGATAAAGTGAATTCAGCTCACACTTTTTTGTTAGTATTTATTAGGATAGAAATAAATCAATCAAAAATAAGAAAAAAGAAAACGACACTCATCATTGTACATTTTTTTAAATGTATTCGGATGATTTCAATACCATGAAATCTGTCGATTCAGCAGTTTTTTCTCTATTTGTCCGAGGTGATAATATCATTATCTAGTCATGTTGCTGCATGTAACAGCATTTCGAATAAAAATAGAGTCAGGTGCTCGCAGTGCAAAAATCAAGTAAAAATTTTTTTCGCGTTTTTTTTAGATCACTTGATAGAGCAAGAGTTGCGGATCACGAAAAACTACTTTTTAACCTTAGCAAATACTTCTTTCCGGTCGAAAAATACGAAATACTCGAAAGACGTCGTTTTTAGAGAAAATGGCATCCTTTTTCGAAATGTGCTAAATTTTCTATTTTGTTCTTTTTTCTAGATTCAGCATCAAAAACTGAGTACAAATAAGTTGTTAAATCGACTCTTGATCCAAAACTCTATTGATGGGGACGCTTCAAATAGAGTCGAGTGCACCACGTATAGGTCGATTTTCTAAACCTATCTAGTTTTTTTCTACGTAAGCGATGGAGCAAAATATTTTGTCTCACTCTATTTATCATACCACCCCTCAACACCCCTAGTATCGGTTTTTTTTTCTTTCCTTTCCTATATTGAGAAAAGTCGTTTTTACTGGTACCATAGTCATTTTAGACGGTATTCATAGATTTTCGAATTCAAATAAGACTTTTTGTCAACAACTAAATAAAGATCATGAATCAGCACAAAAAACTCAGTCAAATGAAGTATCTTTCAAGTTAATTTGAGAACTTTCATTTTTTGACAAATACAATAATTTCAGTCCTCCGACGATACCTGAAAAAATGAGAAAAATTGAAAGTTGTCAAATTAACTTGCAAGATACTTCATTTGACTGAGTTTTTTGTGCTGATTCAGAATCTGTATTTAGTTTTTGACAAAAAGTCTTATTTAAATTCGAAAATCGATGAATACCGTCTAAAACGACTATGGTACCAGTAAAAACGACTTTTCTCAACATAGGAAAGGAAAGACAAAAAAACACCGATATTAGGTGTTGAGGGATGGTATGATAAATAGGATGAGACAAAATATTTTGCTCCATCGCATACGTAGAAAGACTAGATAGGTTTACTCCTCGACCTAGAAGTCGTGGAATCGATACGATTTGAAGCTCCACTACTAATACAACTTTGGATCTAGAGTCGATTTAACGACTTTTTTATATTCCGTTTTTGATGCTGAATCTGAAAATATTTTCAGAAGCAGAAAAAAAAAACAAATAGAAAATTTTGCATGTTTTTGAAAAGATGTATGTTTTTGAGAAAAACGACACCCTTCGAGTATTTCGTATTTTTCGACCGGAAAGAAGTATTTGCTAAGGTTAAAAAGTAGATTTTCGTGATCCGCAACTCTCGCTCTATCAAGTGATGTAAAAAAAACGTGAAAAAAAAATTTTACTTGAAGTTTGAACTGCTTGTACCTTACTTAAACCTGAAGTATAAATATTAATTGCGTCATAAAAACATACAATAGGCTATGGATGACATCAAGTAGTTGTTGACATGTTGATAAGAAGGCTACTTCTTAATTGCGAACAAAATTTCAGCCCTCACTCACACTGTCGGCCTGCTAGTTGCTTTGATTTTCGTCCTCAATCAAGAAGACACGGATAAGAACACGTATTAACGAACATTTTTAGTCGTTGTTTGTGCTGATCAAAGAACTTGAGATTCTGATTGTATATAACATAGAATATCAAAGAGAAATTGATTTATCAAAGGTTTCTTTTTTTATAGAATTTTTTATTAAATATAATCCAATGAAAGCGAGAAGATGAAACTTATTAATGGTAATGTCGTTTCAGCAATTGAAAACATCACTTTCATATTAATGAGTTTTCATTAAACAGTAATAGATGTCGACAAATTACAGCATAATTTTCCGAGTGTATCTAGCTTTTCTTCAGGTATAGATCAAGTCTAATATGAAACAAATTATTTCAAAAATTTTATCTACCAAACAATGTACTCAATTAAATTAATACATCTAATTCTGAAATCTCATTTTATAACATTTCGACTATAAAAGTGTTAAAAAGTTATTTATAAAATTTTTTTTGAAACTTTGATAATTAAATGAAATCATTTTGCAGAATTCATTTATTTTTACGTAAACTTTCGAACATATAATTTAAGAATTGTCATAATATTTAGTTTTTCATTTGAATAAAAATTGTTTCTTAATCTGATAAACGAAACATTTTAATCATAATTGAATTTGTTTTTACACCCAGCATTAAAAGCCTTTATAACATTCATCATCATAATTTGAACTAAAGACAAAAATAAATAACACACTCGTTGATATTTAATGCTTTTCATTTCTGTACCCCGTATTGATGAATTTTATCAATCATAACAACAAATTTCGATTTATTTTAATCAAAATAATACAAAAAAAAACAATGAAACTAAATATTCAACAGTTAGTGAACACATCTTAATCTATGAATAAGAAAAAGAGAAAAGCCGATATCATAGTTAATAAATTGTTGTAATCAAAATTTTTGTAATAATAGACATTCTTGAATGATATAATCATCTTGAAATATTGCTTGGTTTTGTGTTTAATTTATACTATATTAACTATGGATAAAAACTATTTGTATTTGGCTTATTTTTTCTTCTTTATTAACAGTATCAAAATCACTATGATCAAACATAATATGCGCTTATTAGATTTATTACAGATTATGTTTATTATTCTTATTCAAATAATAGAATGATCAAGACTTCGGTTAGAAAGTTTTGCATACCTTTCTTTGTTTGAAAATATTTTATTTTTGTTTGTCAAATATTAAATTTACTATCCTATGAAAGAAAAGGTCATGTACAATATTTCTTATAATAAAAATTCATAATGATTTACATGAAGATTTTTGTGTTCTAGATTTTACAGATATTATAAATTATTTTAAATTAAAAAATGAAAGTTTCAAAACTTATATCTCTAAGATGAAAATAATTATGAACTTGAGATCATCTCACTAAGAAAGTTATGAGTGAAATTTTAGTAAATCAGTGTATTTAAAAGCTTGCATTCAGTGTTGCTATTTATGTGCATTGAAACCCAGCCACTAATTAGTCCTCTTTTATCTAATATTATTATTGAAATTTTCTGTTCGCTTGTAATTGAATCTCAATGAGTTCTAGATTACGGTGAGTTCACTAGCAATATAGCTTATAGTTAATCGTTTTATGCCAATCTTAACTGGTAAACTTAGATGAAAATCAATCGAAACTTTTAGGATTTGAGTGCCTACGTCACACTCACATCCTTTTCTGTTAGGAAAAATCAAGAAAAGATTTCTGAAAGCAGGGTAATCATCCGAGACGCCCTTCATCTGAATCCGCCACTTCAATGATATTTTATTGTGATTCAAATAACATTTACTTTCTTTTAAACAGCATAAAATGATAAATAATCATTTTATATCAATTGATAATCAATAACCTGTAATAAATCTTACATATGAAAAAAACATAAATTAATGGAAATTTTGAAGAAGCCTAGAACGTAAGCAGTAAACTTTGTCAATTGTTCTAAACGAAAACGAGAATATTCTAGATTAGTATCAAGCATTAGGGATTTTGTTATATTGTTAGAGTTATTCATGAACATGCGAAGATATAATTGGAAACATTAAGATGTAGTTGTTCGAGAAACATTCGCTCTTAAGCTGATTACTTCCTCATTCTAGAGATAATCAAGTTCTAGAAGACAATCATAGTTCGAGTTTGATAAAAATTGTTCGTTTCTATTTATTTGAAAGTCTATCCGATGAATTTGTTGCATGGCGAGATCTTGTTTCATTTGAACTATAGTCCTATCAATCCCAAGTAGAACTTAAATTTTGAGTTTTTTTTTTGAAAAATTTTACATATGTCGTTATTCATCCTTCATTTGATAGGTATTGTATCTATATATGATTGATGTAGGATTATGTAGTACAGCTCATCCAGAGCTTATACTATTGATATCGTTTTGTTAACAATGAGAAGAAAAGAAATAAATAAAAATTGTTGGCATTGTCACCCATCATATTGATTTGATTTTTATTTCTTCATGTCTCATTGCAAATGAATGAATGTTTAATCAATAGAAACAGTATGTCATATACTACTAT